GCTACCTCTGCATCTAGGGACAGAGCCACAGATGGTTAACTGGCAGTGCCTTCCAAAGAGAGATGAGGGCAGAATGCTGTGAATATCAGGGTCACTGTACCTGCCCTACCAAAAATAAGTAGAGCCACAGAGGTTATGAAGCAGGGTTCTTCTATATGTTTGCCTGCCCTAAAGCCATGATGGAGAACTTTTTTGAGACTGAGTGTCCAAACTTCAACCCAGAGCCCACTTATTTACCCAAGTGCCCATACTGCAATTAAACCTGGACACTGAAGTTTTAGATTAGAAAAAACAATTCACACACATGGCTTGGGTGCTGACATAGCGGCTCTATGTGCCTGCTACAGCACGCAGGCCAAAGATTTGCCACCACTGGCCTAAAATATCACGCAGAGGGCCTTTCCAGCAAGTGTAACTGTCAGATAGCTCTTGATTCTGGCTTTCATTTGTGCTTTACTGCACAACCTTTAATCAAACCTTCAGGGCTTTGCTTCCAGCTTCTCTTTGCTTGTGCTCTGGCTACTTGGGATGGAATCAACGTGTCAATCCAACAGAAGAGAGGTATTTTCCTTTAGTGACAATTGGCTTTTCTAAACCTGCTCAGCCCTAGAACAGGAACTGCCACCCCAGATGAAAGGACCAAACAGGCAAATACTGGCCCCAGGAGGTCATTGTTCTCAGTCTGTGTCTGTCTCTGTCTCTCTCTCTCTGACACAGGGTCTTGCTATGTAGTCCAAGTAGGGTCTTGAACTCACTGTGTAGCCTAAACTGGCCTTGAACTTGCAGCGGTCCTCTTCCCTCAGCCTCCTGAGTGCTGGGATTTCAGGTGTGCCCCACCGTGCCCAGCCTCCAAGTCTACTTTCATTTTCACAGTAAAGGGAGGAGAGGTCTGAGTCCAGGAAAGGATGAAACAAGCTTGAACATGGCTGTTATCTCACTATGTTCTCTCTCCCACTGTTCCTTGCTGGGAAAGACTTCAATACACCAGTATTCTGTGAGATATGGTTTATTTGGGTGTGGGGCTCTTTCCTGTCTGCTAGAACTAGCTTTGAATAAATCATTTTCCCTTTATACCAAAAAAAAAAAAAAATGGCCTCCATTGATTTGATCCGCTCTGAGCAAGTGAACCTGAGCGTATGGCCCTTAGTGGCCAGCAACAATAACACTCTCAACTCAATTTCATGAGTTTGATCAAGCCACAGCAATGTAGCTGATAGATTCTGGCCCTAGTATAATTGATGAATTATCATGGTGGCCATCTAACATGGCTGAAGCCCTTAAAACAACAGCTTATCTTCTCAGAGACCACCTCCTCCTTCTTGTCCAACCCAACCCAGGGTGCAATTTCCTTTCACCTTTCCTGCCGACACAGGGAAGACCCCAGTCAGCTCCTCAGATATTTCTAAACATCCCCCTCAAACTCCACCCCTAACAAAAGTCCTCAAAAGCCTCAGCTTTCTTTGTCTCAGGCCAGAGGACCTACTTGACCCATCTGCCTTCAATCCTCTCCATGTCTTTGGAGTTAATAAAGGCTTCTTTTATCTTTCCTATCTCTTTACTGTGCCTAGGAAAAACCTATCAGTAGCCTAAGAAGGTACATTAGTTACCCTGTGGCTATTTCTCTGAAGATTTAAAAGGAAAGATGAAAGAGGCCTGCTTGAAAGCCTTATCTGCTCAGAGTAGAGCACAGACCCGCCAGCAGCAGCAGCAGCTAGAAAATTGTATGGAATTCAGATTGTTGAATCTCACCTCAGACCTACAGAGTTGAATCTGAATTATAACAAGATCCTTAGGTGATTTCTTTAGAAATGAAAATGTAGAATCCTTGAAATATATAACTCTTAATATTAGATTCCTACCTTGACTATAGGTTGAAATCACCTGGAGTGATATATATATATATATATGTTTCCTGTGCTCAATGTTGAATTGTTAGTGTTGATCACAGAAAAAGAATCAAGATTGCCAATTAAACATGTTCAACTGTCCACCCAGTGTTTTTTTGTTTGTTTGTTTGTTTGTTTTTTAGTTTTTAGCTTAATATAGTGAGATGATTTGACTTTGAAATAGGACATCATTTTGTGGCCTTCAGACAGTAAATACACTGCAGCTCATGTGTAATTCCATATAGTTCTAGCTTGGTCCTCCAATGTCTCCTTGTCTTAGTTACTTTTCTCATTGCTGGGAGAAAATGCCAAACATCCACTATTAAAGGAAGAAATTTTTCTTTTAGTTCACAGTTTGTAAAAGTTTCAGTCCATAGTCAGCTGGCCGCAAGGCAAGGCAGCTTGGCAGAGGGATGTGGAAGAGAGGAAACAGTCCATGGCAGGAAGGCAGGCAGGAGGTAGGAAGCAGCAAGCCTCCCTTTCCCTTCTATCCCATCCAGGCTGCAAACCTATTGGATAGTGCCACCCACAGCCAGGGTGGGCCTTCACATTACCCATACCCACAACTGTGCTAAAACAGTTAGTTGATTAATCTATTTATCATACCCTTAATCCATACACTCATGATTCAGCCACTGCCAGAAGCCCTATCTGGGAGTACTGAGGCTTTAGGGACATTTTATAGTTTTACATGATTTTATTATCAATTTTCATCTGAATCCAATGAGGAATGGGACAACTTTGCCTTTCTTTCTTTATTTCTTTGTTTGTTTTTTTTTTTTCTTTTTTTAAATGTATTTAATACAGGACCTACAGGGTCTCACTGTGTAGATCGGACTCAGTGATCCTCCTGTTTTCAGCCTCCCAAGTGCTGGGATTACAGGCGTGTGCCACTATGCCCAGTCTCAATTGCTGTCTCAGTGTGTCCCTGGGGCAGGGTCAGTGTAGCACACTGGGGGTTGAACATAGCCTCTGTACTCTGCCTAAGCAGAGCTATCAGTACCCTGAGCTATCTGGCCAGGCCTTGCTTTTGTTTCTTGACCAGGAATCAATTGCTTGAGTCTGAAATGGTCAGCATGGGAGGCAAGTGCATGTACCACAATCATGTATAAAAACAGGAGCTGAGGAGTACTGAAAAAAGCCTGAGGAACTGATTTTAAAAAGGACTCCTGTGCCTGGTCCTTCCCTTATAATTAAATCAGAATGAGAGGATCTTGAGTATGTTTTTTTTAAACTCCCAAGTTTGTTCTGTTGTTTTGAAGGCATAGTCTTGCTATATAGCCCAGGTTGAGGTTGAACCCAAGATCCATGGTAGAAGGGGAAAGACAGCTCTTTAGATTTTCTGTGTGTGTGTGTGTGTGTGTGTGTGTGTGTGTGTGTTTGGTCCAGGGTCTCACGACACAGCTTGAGCTCTTAGTGATCCTCCTGTTTTCAGCTTGCCCAATGCTGGGATTACAGGCTGGCTCACCATGCCCAGACTTGGTTGTTGGTTCGTTGGGCTTGGGGGGGGGGCCGGCTTGGCTTTTGTTGCCGGGGTTGGAGGCCTTGGGCTTGGATTTTTTTTCAATTGAGGGGTTGGCCAATTGGTTCGGCGGTTTAAGGGGCTTGAAGCAGACGTAGGGGCCAGAGGTTCGACCCCTGGGCCTACCATGCGAACCCTGCCCCAGGGCACACTGAGAGGGCAACTGAGACTGGGCGTGGTGGCATGTGCCTGTGATCCAGCTCTTGGAAGGCTGTAAACAAGTGGATCACTAGGAGTCCGCTCTAGTAGTGAGATCCTGAACGCCCTGTAGACACTTCCCTAAAAAATATGAAAAAATAAAAGAATTTTTAAAAAATGAGAATATTGGATAGAACAAAAAAGTTCATGTTTCCAACAGCAGTCTCAAAACTCATCTGTGACCAGGTGCATGTGGCCACTCCAGTGAGCAGTGCAAGACAGCAACACCGAGGTTCAGGACGGCTCTGCTCATGAACGATTCAGACAGCAGCATTTGGAATAACTCCATATTGAGTGACAAACAAATACAACCGTCTTCCCCCCACAAATGTGAATGTGACCATCTTCCCCAGAATCGTAGGAGGAATTAAGGTCATGAACTAAGGTGCCACCGTAATTTATTTATTTGTTTATTTTTGAGACAGGGTCTTGCTGTGGACTTCAGGCTGACCTTGAACTCATGGCTATCCTCCTACCTCAGTCTTCTGGGTGCTGGGATTACAGGTATGTGCCACTACCCCCTGCTAAGCAATGCAGTTTTAGCATTAAAATTTAAGGTAGTGTCGGGGCGCACAGACTGAGAACTCAGTCCCACAGATTGCCCCCTACTCAAAAGATCCCGGCTGCAAGTCTGGGCTTCTGGAGTATCTTCATATAATCTTTATTTATTTATTTATTTATTTGGTACAAGGTCTCGATGTGCAGCTCGGACTCATGGTGATCCTGCTGTCTCAGCCTTCCAAGTGCTGGCATCACAGGCGTGGGTCACCATGCCTGGTTTCAGTGGTTAGCTTGGCACAGTGGTACTGGGCATGGAATGTGGGTCCTCGCACTTGCCAGGGAGCTGCTTAGACTGTCGAGCTATTTCTCCAGCCTCTGGTTAACTGCTATAAATTAAGTTTTCCTTAACCTCTTTCTCAAGTCTATATGATTTGTTAGAGTAGCTCACAGAACTCAAGGTGACATTTTGTTTATGCTTACTCATTTAATACAGAGCATTATTTTGAAGGATACTGTCAAAAACAACAAAAATAATAGGGAAAAGGGGCTGGGGAGATAGCTCAGTGGAATAAGTTGCTTGCTTGGCAAGTGTAAGGTCCTGAGTTTGATCCCTGGGCCAGCCAGCCAGCTTAGCAGACTAGAGTGCCTGCTTAGCTAGAGTGCAGCGGCTGAGATTCGATCCCTGGTGTGCTGCGGCACACTGAGACAGTGATTGAGACTGGGCGTGGTGGTGCGCGCCTGTAATCCCAGCATCTAGGAGGCTGAAAACAGGAGAATCACTATGAGTCAAATCTATGTGGTGAGATACTGGAGACCCTGTGCTACATACATTAAAAAAAAAAAGAAAGAAAGAACTCAAAACAACAAGAGGTTTTATTTCACCAGACAAGCTGGGTTTGGTGGCACATGCCTATGATTCTGGGTTTGAGGGAGGCACATCTCATGTGTAAGACATGAACGCCCAATCATCACGCTCACGAACCGAAGGATCATGCCTGTGATTCTAGCACTCTGGATAGCTGTGGCAGGAAGACTACAAATCTGAGCCCAGATTAGGCAATTTAATGATTTAGGAAGATCCTGCCTCAAAATAAATAAGCACCCGGGGATGTAACTCAGTCCAAAAGCCCTTAGCTCTGGGCTCAGTCGCCCGTGCTGCTGGCTCTAGCCATGTTACAGAATGAGATAGGATCTCCACGGGATGGCATGAAATGTAACTCCCAGCCTGCTAGATGTCTGATACATCAAGTTTGTATTCCCCAAAATCTAAGAGTGAATTCTAAGGAACAGGGAGGTTAAAAGTAGAAAACATTTATTCAGGGAAAGACAGCTCCTGCCTAAGAGAGACAGGAGGGGATCCAGAAAGTGGGTTGCCCACAAGCCCACTTCTCAGAGCAAGTTTTATAGAGCAAAATCACAAGGTGGACACAAAAATCATGAGTTAGGAATAAGGTGGGACAGAACTATGGGCAACCAATAGGATTAGAAATACATCCACTTAGGAAATACTAACCCAGTGGGGAAGCAGGTCACGTAGCAAGTGTGCATGGAAAGGACCAGGACCTTTCCTGGAAGGGATGGTCAAGAGAGTTTGGTCACCCAGCCAGGTGACTAGCGCCTATTTAGAACATAATCATTGTTGGGCTGGGGATATAGCTCAGCCACACGGCACCTGCCTGGCAAGTACAGGTCCTGAGTTTGATTCCCAGCTTAAAAAAAAAAAATCAGGCTGGAGAGATAGCTCAGTGGTCTGAGTGCTTGCCTGGCAAGCACAAGGAACGAGGTTCGATCCCCAGTACCGCATGTCATGCTGACCCTGGACCCCTGGGTTCACTGTGCTGGCTACTAAAACTGGGCGTAGTGGTGCACACCCGTAATCCCAGTGCTGGGAGGCTGACACAGCAGGATTACTATGAGTCCAAGCTAGGTAGCGAGACCCTGTACCAAATAAATTAATAAGATAAAAATAATTTAAAAATTGTTATTATCTCTCAGAGAAATATCTAGGTATACTCATTCTGCTTTTGTCTTGAGGCCTGGCCTTCAACAAATGTAGCGTGGTCTTATTTTCTGCACTGGCTTCTCTGAGGGCCTATCCCTGTGTGACCGCTGATAATATTTCTACCTAACTTATTTGTGCATAATAGTGGCACAAGCCTATAATCCCAGTCCTCTGAGAGGCTGAGGCAGGAGGATCACTGCAAGTTCAAGGCCAGCCTGGGCTACATAGTGAGTTCACAGCCAGCCTGAACTGCACAGAGAGACTTTGTCTCAAAAGACAAAACAAAACAAAAGTTCTAGTTTTAGGAGTGGGGGAAGCAGTTTGAAACCAGAGAGCAGAAGCCTTCAGGACAAAACTCTACCCCTTATACAATGTTCCTGGGCCAGCCAAATAACTCAATCATGCTGAGACGGCAAGTGACACTGGGCGTGGTGGTGCACGCCTGTAAGCCAAGTACTAAGTCCCAGTTGACTGACACTTAAAATTGACTTCAGGGGCTTGGTGGTAGCGTGTTTGCCTAGCATGCAAGGCCCTGAGTTTGATCTTCAGCACTGCAAAAGAAGGAAGATATAAAAAGCATAAATTGGACTGCAGGTGGCAGAGGAACTTCTTGCAGTTTGTTTATCTTGGCGGTTGAAACAGGAACATGCCTGAGCAGGGGCCACAAAGTTCAGTTTGTGGTTCTTTCAAGAACAGAGTACACGTGTGGCACCTAGTTGGCAGATGCCACCGGCCTCCATTTGAACACAGGCTCAGTCAGTCACTGGGGACCCTTTTTCTCCCAGAAGGGTAACAAGTGTACTTGGACATAGACAGTACCGCTTAATCTTATATGTCTGCAGTTCCCAGGATTTCCGGCTAGCTGCAATGGTGGGCTAACACCTGTATCTTTCACAGCAGAGAGCAAAATGTGTATCCTCTTTGATCACAAAGCCAAACAAGGAAAAATTATTCAGTAACTTTGGGTGAGGATCTTTAATTAAAAAAAAAACCTGTTATGTTTGTCTCATGCAAAACGCATTCAGTCCACCTCCAAGAGTTGCCAACATCTTAACAGTTCAAGGATTGCTCAAAAGTCCAAGTCTAAAGTCTCCCTTGAGACTCATGGGGCCCTGTAAAAAGACCAAAAGGCAGGTTACATAAGCTTCAGTGTCACCCACACACATTGCAGCTTCACTCATCACCTCTCAAGAATCCCAACAAGGGTTTGAAACCTGTCACATATTGCCTGGCCTCCCAGGTCTTCCTCTGAAATGAATGGCGACTTCCATGACCCACAACTCCTATGTTCTGTATGCATACAAAATC